AGGGCCTTTCTCGCAGCCTGTCAGAAAGAAACTGTGAGTGGTATCAGCAAGGGCTTTCTCACAGCATCTCAGAAAGAAACTGTGAGTGGTATCAGCAAGGGCTTTCTCGCCACCTCTCAGGAACAAACTCTGAGTGGAGTCAGCAAGGGCCTTTCTCGCAGCCTCTCAGAAAGAAACTGTGAGTGGTAAGAGCAAGGGCTTTCTCGCAGCCTCTCAGAAAGAAACTGTGAGTGGTATCAGCAAGGGCTTTCTCACAGCCTCTCAGAAAGAAACTGTGAGTGGTATCAGCAAGGGCTTTCTCGCCACCTCTCAGGAACAAACTCTGAGTGGAGTCAGCAAGGGCGTTTCTCGCAGCCTCTCAGAAAGAAACTGTGAGTGGTAAGAGCAAGGGCTTTCTCGCAGCATCTCAGAAACAAATGTGTGATAAAGATGAGTCACATTTTAAATACTATGGACTCCTAGAAGGACCATTGTCGCCCTTACAAAAACAAGGGGGAAGTGTCAAAATTAACCAAAGCGCGACAATGCGACAACGCAACATTTGGGCCATTTATTGCATTGTCGCACTTTGAATAATATTTTAAACTTTCCAAAGGGCGACAATGCGACAATATTTTGACCTTTAAAAATGATGCGTTCTCGCATTGTCGCGCTTTGGTTAATTCTTACACTTTTAACCGTGTTTTTGTAACGCGACAATGGCCCTTCTAGGAGTCCATAGTATTTTAAATGTGACTCGGCTTTATCACACATTTGTTTCTTAGACAACGTAAAGACGACAACGCGACAATGGCCCTTCAAGGATTCCATAAACTACACAACATTTGAAACTGTTACAGGACGTTTTGTGACTCGAGTTGGTCTGGGTGGTAGGTATCAAGTTTCAACCTTACACTGCTGTAAGTAGGTCACATATTTCAAAGCGCCTGGGCTTCGCTTGGCAATAAAGGAGAGGTCAATGTTCAAGGTTGCCTTGACTCACCATGTCTAATGATAACACATTCTGATATAGGGACAGTAACTTATTTCTACTCTTTATTTTTTTCGCCTTGACGAAATGAAAACTGATTCTTTTATATAAATACATATGTTCTGTTTGATCGAGGCGAAAATAAATGTGACCATGTTGTATTTACAGGTCAATATTGTATCTGAAGCAATTAACTGATGTGAGGCTACTATACCCACTGGCACATGTACCTATATATTGCTGTTTATGAACTTCATGGATATTTTTACCAAGAAAACAATGTTATCACTATCCCCCGCCATGGGGCACATTAGAATTTTGTTTATTTGTATAGTAGTCAATATAAACATTAAAAAAAAGAGTCATATGTGTCTTTAGAAGAGATGGGCACTAGGGTCACCTTATGGTGCTTTATGACGAAAAATGATTAAATGTAAAATTAATACACCATCTCAGGCCAAAATAACGCAGTCTTTATAACTATATCTTAGATACATTCAGTAGGTTTTCTGATACTATGCACTTTGTAAAGAACAAGGATCCAGGGTCATAACTGTATGCTCAAAATCTAAAAATATGTCGCAAGAGAAGTAACTCTGGGAAAAATTAATTTATGGCACCAATTCGAACTGAGTCTTGATAGGTATTTCTAAGAAGCTTGCAAACTTTCTTTGATGTAACTTCAGTTGTTTCTGACAAACCTTGTCCCAATTGCAGCCGCAAAGCACAAGGTAAAATAACATGGATCAAGGGCCGTAACTGTGTAAAGAAATAATTTACGGCCCCTATTTCATTTCTCTAACTTAAATAAGTTTTGAGAAAATTTGGCCAATTTGAGGGGTGGAGAGAATGGCGAACGGATGAACTCCCTGCCTTTATCACCCACCCCACTCAGTCTAGATAAGTATCTCTTAGATAGGTGGGGTGAAATTGGGTTTAGCATCGCATCCAAAATTATTGCACTTATATAGCGACGGGCATGCATGTGTGTGTGTGTCGCTGCTTGTACTAGTCCGGACTGATGCCGATTAATAGTGCTAGCCCACTGAGATACCATGCCGCAGTTTAACATGAATACCCCACTCAGACACAGTATACTTGTTTTAGCCCCTTAATGCCGAACGCGATTCAGGGTAACAACAAGTACCATCTTTTAAAAATCTTTTGGTACGACGTCGTCGGGGATCGAACCCCGGTCCTTCAGCTCTCCATGCGGACGCTCTACCACTAGACCATTTAATCTCTTAGATAAGCATGTAACCTTTCCCTATTGCAGCCACTATCTATTAGGTAAAATAACATGGATCAAGGGCCGTAACTGTGTAAAGAAATTACGGCTCCAAATTCATTTCTCTAACTTAAATATCTTATGAGAAAATTTGTCCTCTTCGAGAAGCAGATAGGACAGAAGGACGGACGGACGGACGAACGAACTAAGTTCATTGTCCCCCGTTCCGTTTCACATTTGTAATCAAATTAATTGGTTGCTTTTTCAAAGTATAACTGATTTGTTAAAATCACACACAACGTTCACTCTTACACCTGATTTAGAATAAAGCATTCCCGTAGTTATTGTCGTGTAGGTGATTCATGTTGTATGTGTCATACAGTTTGGGTGTGACAAGGGAGGTTCTCAGCTGTGGGGCAGGATACGCTCACGTTTTCGTGGACATCTTGTATCCTTACTATAGGATAATGATTCATAAACATATGCGTTTGATACAGTCGGAATTGTGCAATGAATATGGAAACGGTTTTGTCGCTTTTATTTAGTTTGGCCAGTTTGAGCCTACTATCGGTTTCGCTATTGGGGAGACTGCTGAATCCGTATGCCATATTTGGTCTTTATTAACGTTGTATAGTTTATTTCTTTATTAGTTCCATGTCCCCCCAAGTGACGTGCTACCCACAGATCTATAAATCAGCAATGTTGCTTAGTAACACGAAGAACAAGCTGCTTTCATGTTGTTCATTGTTCACAATTATAGCTCTATGCAAATCATTATGTTTACAGCATTGGACATGGACTACTTGTGATGGCGCCATGCAGGGTCAAAATGAGGAAATAGAAGACACCAACAGTAAGTAGCCATATCAGTCATATGTTGTAAAGTGTGTTATGATGAATGAGTAAGTTCCACACTATGGATAGCAAACTGTGTGGATGAAATAGGAGCGTCTTCTGGTGGTTATAGTGATATTCACTGCCCTATGAGTATTACCCTGCTCACGGGTGTGTTAGAATCATAACATTACCATATGTAAAAATGAAGATAATACAAAAATTGAAAAAGCACTATACTTAATAGTGTAACACCTAATCTATCTATCTATCTATCTATCTATCTATCTACCTATCTATCTATCTATCTATCTATCTATCTATCTACAGTAAACTACCGTCATAACAAACTCAAAGGTACCACCAATTTTAGTAATAATCGTAATTCGTTTTTAGCAAATACTCGTTATAAGCTCGTGTCTTTGGGTGCTCTAACGACACAATGAAGCGGTGAAGCTGTGAGTAATAGACTAAGAGTCAAACAGTGTACAGTCAAAGATACCATATATATTCAACAAAACATGGAAAATAATTACAGTTGATGCCATGCTTGACATTGAATTGCCTTCGGGAAAGCAACTTGGATAGCGCTGCAACCTTCTTTAAACTAGAATGTCATTGCTTTAGAATCTTGTTGCGTGACGTCATAGCAGTGTATGGCATCATCCAGAGAATGTCGCTGTGCGTTAGAAGGAAGTACATAAATGCTTAAATTTGTTCGATTTGAACTACCAAAAAGGTATTATAATGTTTACCTGATAAATAAACGTGTTATCCATGTTGTTAAAAAATAAATAAATTCTTTGATCGTCCATTGATGCAGAGCTATTTAAAAGGTGCATAGTTTGACTCAATGGCTAAACGTTATACATGTTCCTAGCGCAATATAATGCTTTGTTTTCATATGGACAGTGAGACTAAACAACAAATATTTTAGATGTACCTATTTTAGAAAATGTTAAATACTTTTTTGTACGGAGCTGTGGACATACTTATTGCAAAAAACAAGAACATTTACAACATGGTTGTTTAGGTAATGTCGTCTAATCTTGATTTATTTATTGATAGTGTATTGTAGGCCTCTATGACTGCATTTTGAAGTTCATGAATTATTATCAAAGAAGTACATTTCATGCCTTCCATTCAACCACTATGACTGTATGATTCTTAAGACATAGTTATGTGTTTTTTTTTGTAGACTGTCAAACGTGCTCTGCCCTTTTGGATAGAAAGGAAGATTTTGATCTACCAGAGGACAATGTTCTGCTTATTGATGTAGATGTTGCCTTAATAAACAAACCCTATGCAACATTGAGTAATTTTCAGAAGAAGGAAAAACAAGATCAGAGGAATGACTTTGTTAACAACCTGAAGAAGTACATATCAGCTCTGCGAAACACAGCAGGTGGTATAGTGCTGGTTCACATAAATGGATTAGCAGATGAGGACACATGTCTAGACTACTTCAATGAATTAGTTGATAAGAAACTGAATGATATGATCGAAGATGGCAGTCTCTTTGTGCAAAGTTATCAAAAGGATTGGCTTCTAGACACCGAAACAAACATTGAAAAGAGACCTTTCAGAGGATTTGTTGTTATCCATGTAACAGGTTCTAGTATAGTGACAACATTTAACTTCCATTCAAAACAACCACTTGATAATGCTATAATTAATGTGCAAAGTAATGCAGTCATCAGATTTCTCAAAGGCAAAAACTGTTTTCAAAACAAAAGAACATCAATTCGTGGAATACCACAGATCAATGAAAGGCGAAACATTCAATTGAAAGGTTTCCGTCCTGAAACTCTAACTGCTGGGTTATTCCAAAATGCTGCCACATTAAATGACTATCTTTGGCAAAAGTGTTGGTTAGCTGAATATATAAGTGCCTTTTCTAAAGTAGATGGTGGTGGATCGTTCTTCCTTGGCATCAACGAGGACGATATAGAATACCATAATGAGACTTACAAGTCAAAGACATTTACAGGAGTGGGCATACAATTCAGAGATTTGCAATTTCGTAACGATACTGAAACCGCCATCTTGCAGTCTCTACAGAACAACACTGTTATCGTGACATACAGTGGAGAGCGACAGAACACACCTAGAGACACCATTCAAGTCGCATTCCATCCAGTAGAGGCAGACAAGTTTGTGCTGGAGGTAGCTGTTGCAGCAGTTGACGGTTTGCTGTGTTACGATATAAAAGGACCAGAAGCTTACGAGTTTGAAAATAACGAACTGAAGAGGTTAACAATAAAAGAGTGGTATGAAGGGTAAGTTAAATTTGGGATACAATGACATGCATCAACCAAGTCAGCGAGCCTGACCACCTGATCCAGTTAGTCGACAGTGCGGTGGCAAGCATGCGGCAAGCATGCGGTGCTTAAGTCCAATTCTACCCCGGATCTTCACGGGTCCTTGCCTTCCTTATAAGGCAACAGCATCCAGGTGCAGTCCAGATTTTGTTCAAGAGGTTCAAATCCGATTTTCCATATTGTCAACATTAAGGTTTCAATTTCTGTATACCACAATTTCTACATTATCGGGTGTACTATTCCGAATATATCGTTAGCATGTGTCTACGAATCACCATCAAATAGTGATTGTACCCGGTGTTCGTGAAGAGGTATTCCTGTTCGTTGCTTTATTAGGTATCTGACTATAATATTGATTTCAGGTTGTGTATCCAATACGAGACTGACGCCCAGGCTGAAAGCAGATATGGCACTACCTGAAAAAGACAGCAACCCTCGTTTAGATGGTTTGTTGGTTCTCAGATTTTAAATTTATTGTTAAAGTTCAGATGAGGTGAAATGGGGTTTATTGTCGCGTTCAAGGTTATTGCACTTACATTTTGACGTATTGTAGCATTGAATATTGTTCAAATATAAGTTTTGTGGAAACAGATTTTTAGATATAAATACAGCAATAAACACACAGTACTCACAATTTTCATTTGATTTACTGACATTTTGACAGTAACTTACATAAAGAAAAACTCCAGCAATGATTTAACGGATCATAGTATGTTAAAGAAAGTATATGTTCTTGTAACAGAGAACCTGACACACCGTCCTGTTGGGAGGGTGGACATAAGGAGTCTGTATCAGCGGAGGCCTCCCTGCATGCAGATAGAGAGGAGTCTGGAGGATATAGAGGCCACAGTTTTACATGGAGGTACAGCAAACGTTTAACAACTTGTTGGCAACAGGGTTAGAAGTGGTTTTCGCTATATATTCCTTGTATGACTGAACTAAAGTAAATAAGATGGAAAGATTTTGTGACGTGACTGATTGTACTTAGTGATTCCCAATATTCTGTATTATATCTATTCCGGAACATTTAAAATTCAACACACCTGACACAGGACTTTTCTTTCACAGGACTAGAAACAATCAAGACATTTCCCATGGATTTCTCAGCAGGAGAGGCATATGTTAATTTGAAGACGAGGCTGAATAAGATCTCAACAATGGAGAATGTTGGTCTGGCATACATCGCTAAATCTCTCCCTGCTACTGCTAATATGGACATTAAGTACAGGACTCCCGGAGATGTTATTTTGGACATATGTCTTATCAGACAGGGCAGTCCTGCAGTTGTTCTTTCTGTTCTGACAGACATGCCTGTGGATATGAAACTTGCTCAACGATACACCTCTGCTGTCTCTAAAGAACTTACAAAGAATGTTCGCAGGTTTACGACTGTGACCTTCAACTCTATATACGGGTTACTTCATGAGAAGGACCTCACGTCACAAGAATCATTTGAATCATCTCTATCAAGGATAGAGAAGGAAAGGTCTCGCCTCTGTGTTCCTGATTCTTTGAGCATGAACAGGGAAAAGTATAAACATGTTGTCCGCGCTTTCCTCTCTTCTGTAGCAGTAACAACGCTTGTTAGTGACGAAAAGGAAGAAACTCTATGGTTTTTGACACTCAAACAGTTCTGTATCCTGACACAGAACATTGATCACACTGAAGTGCATGTAGATACCTGCACGGCAAGCGGTGGTGGAGTCCTGTCTCTCACAGTTGCTCAACGTCTACAGAAACTTGGACGGACATTGCTAATATCAGATGACCCCAAACTAGTCGAGCGTGCAAGGTAACAATTTATAACATTTTTTTCTTATTAAAGCTATTTTTTAATTGATAAATGTGTTCATGTGGGCAGATACCGACGACATATGATGAATGTGCTACCTCTGCCCTCCTTACAGAAAGCAGAATATTGATTCCAAGACATTCAATGACATCCTGCAAAGTGACTTGATGGCAGAGGAAGAAGATCTCATGAACGTTGTTATGTACCGAGTTGGAGGACCACGCTCATCTGAGACTCCACAGTTACACCAGCTTTTGTCGGGTGCACATAGGCGCTGGGTTTTCCATAGACAGAAAGGTATTTGTGATCAGCTTGATTCAACATTGTTAACCACACACCTCTAGGTATGGTGACAAGAATCATTGCTAACGGGATGATATTATGACAAGACAAACAACGTTTTATATTGTTGAAGTAAAGAAAGACCATGTTGATATGATTAGCATCTGGACTAGTTTTCTTCTATAACTTGCAAGTTATGATTAACAACAGAAGTATGACATTTGTGCTTATCCATGTGGTACGTTGTTATGACACAGTGGTGACGAGATGCAATTCAGGAGAACATATGCCAAAGATAACCAGGTTTCACAAACAGCTGTCCACAATACGAAAAGTCAGACTCTTTCCAGTTTGTCAATGATTTGAGTTTTCCTATGCATACAGATGCCGCTGCAAAATCATGTAATTTATGTATATTGTTAACGTTTGAACCATCACACATACAGGATGAACCTCAGTCACTATAACGGAGCTTATCATCCACTTTACATCATGTTGAGATTCTTGTGATATTGGAAAATCACTGATTTCTAATGTTTGATATTTGATACCAATAATTATCATATTTGATATAACGCATTTGACTAAAGATGTGAACGACGTAGATCTCTGGGTTGAGAAGTCATCTTCATGGACATCATATTGTGTTTCAGATTCTGAGACATCAGCGTAAGTTAAACAACTCTAAACTATTTATGTTCACGTGCACTGGATCTTGCGTATCTGGTAATAATATTTTGGACCCATATCTGTATGGTTGTTTTGTTTTGTTGTTAGAAAACGCCTCAACACAAACATTTTTTTTTCTAGGAAAGCAATAACACATTTTGTTTATGACATCGAGCATGTCCATTAAACACATTTATAACTTGAGCCAAAATATTTTTTTCAAATGTATTCTGAATCAATGGATGGATTAATTTTTAAAAGTAAAGTGTTGAATTATTTTGATGTAACTTATCTATTTACTGTTTTCTGTATGTACTAAGACAAACTGTGATATTTTCAGGATGTCATCTTCAAGATCGTCACACGAGGAGAGTACACATATACCACCGTAAGTTAAATTGACTTTCTAGTAAATGTTGTATTTGAATTATGGTTTAGGACTTACTTATATTTTTAAATACAACAATGACAATTGTACAGAGGTGATTCATTTCTGGACAACCACATAATATAAAATATGAGAAATCCTGAATGTATCTATCTCATCGTCCTACGCCGCGATATCACTGGAATACTGTTAAAAGCGGCGTTAAACCCAACTCACTCACTCACTATCTCATCTCCTAGAGGCAAGATGAGGGTTAACATTTCATCAAAGTCACTAACTTGCATCTGACATGTGTGTCTGTTACAAGTGGGTATCAGTGGTTCCATGTTACATGCAACCAGTGGTCATCTTGGGTATCCTGTCACACTCTACTGGAGTAACAAGCGCGAGTTTTGGGAGCTATTGACGGGTAAAAATCAGGCTTATTGTTGATCTTTGTAATGTGGAACACAAAACGTCAGCCAGCACAGCGTGCACGATAGCAGGATAGCACAATAAACAACATAATTTTTGTTTCCTTGTACGATACTACTGTCCCTAACATGGGCGATTTTTTAATTGCGTTCAGTCCTCCACAGTAACCACCCTCCTTACCATCATTGAATACCACCACAGAAGGCATGGTGGCAACCATGTATGCCGACCGCACATTGACTGCCAAGTCTCAGTACTCGACCTCGCCCTCGTCTAAGTATAGGTTGATTCAGGATCTGGCGATCGCCTGAAAAAAAATCACACGTGAAATCAATGATCATAATATTAAACGTCAATGACAGAGAATGAAAGGAAGGTAAAAGGCAACATAGCCCTAATAATTATAAGAATTAATCACTGAAAATCAGTGATGACCACAAGTGTTCGAGAAAGAGGTCAGCATGTCCTGCCCTACCTGTAGCATCCGCTTCTGAAACAATCAAGTAATGGACAGGCAATCCAGTCACACAATTGCACATCTACTAATTTTGCTGATACGTTAATTTTGAATCACGTCTGCTGTGTACAAGTGCAACGATTCTGCTAATTATAGGTGAAGAAGAAACTCCGTCACAGAAATATATTCGTTTTGCCCGAACATTTCCTTGTTGATGACTCGGCATTGGCATTATTTCAGCCATATCATGACTAGTCATAATTGATGAATACTTCTGAGCTAATGATGAAACTCGAGGAATCCGGGCAAAGACAAATCAATTGTACGAGGGCTGGATAAAAAGTTCTAAGCCTAACAAACAAAATAGTGGGGAGGTGAAAGCTAAAAATGTGCGCTTTGGGTTAAAAGCACCAAACTAGGCATACTTATACATTGAACCATTCCGAACATTTTTGGCAGAGCCCCCTGGTGGTAGAAAATCCAAGATGGTCGCCTACATGGCTGAAATCTCTAATGATATCAATATATACTCAATATATCATACTTCTCTGATCCATTTATACATGTACATACATATATCCATGTATATCCATAGTAATGCATGCAGAATGAATTGCAGCAGATCAGTATATCATTCAAATATAGTTTGCAGCATGGCTGAAATCTCTAATGATATCAGTCTACACTCAACACATCTTAGTTACCTGGCCAATTTATAGAAATTATCTTTGTAATGTATTTAGGAGTAATCACAACAATCCTGTATATAATTCAAACCTAGTATGCAGCACCCCCTGGTGGTGATGAAAGTCCAAGATGGCCGCCGACATGGTTGAAATCTCTTATAACTTTAGTCTATACCGATTATATCATAATTATCTGGTCAATTCATTCAATATCACAGTATCTTTTTCAGGATCAATTGTAACAATGCTTTATATAATTTAAATCTTATATGCAGCTCCCCCTGGTGACGACGAAAATCCAAGATGGCCTCCAATATGTTTTAGATTTCAGAAATTGTCTATTTCGACAGCAGATGTATACTGAACAACAAAAGTTCCTGTCAGTGTGACATTGAATAAGATTTAATGCAAATTCTGTTTTTTACCAAATCTGAAACAATTTCGGTTTGCAACATATAAAAGACTCCTGTAAGTGTTCAAATGGTTTAATTTGCCAAACTGATTTCAGAAAATGCGTGATTTCATAAAAAAAACATGAACATGCCAAAATGTCAATTTACAAATCAATAGCTTGTGTGTCTACCTCTGGTTGTGATCCAAGCAACACAGCTTCGTCCCATGGAATTGTTGGATATCTGTCCATATCTGTTGGAGCATGTTTCGAAGTTCCTGGAGTGTCTGGGAAATACGTGGTTGACGTCGAAGGCGCAGATCCATCTCAATGTGAGTCCTGGCGTTGTCATGCTGAAACGTAATGCCTGGGCCATGATGACGCAAAAACGGTAAAACAACAGGGCCGATGATCTCTTCGTGGTAGCGCTGTCCATTGAGATTTCCCTCTACCACTATCAAATGGGTCCTCACACGGTAATCCCACCCCATACCATAACGCTGCCGCCCCCGAACCGATCTTTTTCAATGACACAATGATTGACGTAACGTTCACCTCGACGCCAGTACACTCGAATCCGTCCATTGCTGTGGCTGAGGTGAAAACGAGACTCGTCGGTGAATAGAACTTGTCCCCACTGCATGGCCGTCCAGCGTAGACGCTGTCTGCACCACTGTAGACGTGCTTGACGGTGGTTTCCTGTCACGTTGACTCGATCCTGCTTCAAGCATACCAATGGCTAGCAGACGCTCATTTTCGGACTGGCGTGGCATTTCGTAATGTTGAATAATTGCGTAATTTTGTTGTTTTTCTGAGTGCTTGTTGTCAACACGATGGTAAACAATGATGGAATCCCGTTAACACACATATTTTCATACCCATTCTTGGGTAGTGAAATGCATGGGGCTTGCATAAAAGTCAACTTTTTCACGGAATTCATGCTTTTCTGTAGCAGTTGCATTTTTGTGACTTGATTTCATACATGTACTACAATATTGAAAACCAGACTTTACTTCTTTGAAAAATACACTAAAATATTGGTGTCACAAGAACTTTTGTTGTTGAGTATAGTTATCATTTGATATCTTTGGACAAAGGATAAGTTGATAAGTTTTGATATGATGAAACATGTTTAATGACATTGTATCAATTAATATGTATTGTCTATGATTTATTCTCAGCATATTATTTTATAAATAGTCTACTGAGAAATGTTCTACCTAGTTTATATTACATCACCCCAAAATGGTAAAGTTTACAAGGGTTTGCCAGACTTCTTGCAGGTGTAGTGTTAGTTTATAACACTTCTTTGTGCCTGACCAAGTGTTGTCCACTTGGGTATCTATATATTACTGCATGTCCTCTCCCAACCCCTGACTACAAGATTCTGTAGTGTGGGACGTTTGTCAAGCACCTGTCTCATACATGCATTGGTGCTGTCTTAGAGCTACCTCTTTGGGTTGAAATGTCAATTGTCTGAGATCTTCATGAACAGAGATTGTGCCTTTCTTTGACCTTCCAAATAAACCAGTGAGAAGGACTAACCGCTCATGAATCTGCGTTGTGTTGTCAGAGATATCTGCTGCTGATGGGAAAGCATTGGTGACTTTCTTGAAATACTTGACACGTATCTCAAGCATATGAATCGTTGAAGGCATGAAATAGTAACAATGTCTTTGAATTCCGTGGGCCTCTAGAAGAAACCTCTCGGCTGTTTCAGTCAATCCAACTGCACCTCCATCTCCTCTCATACTGCTATTGTATTGTTCATGTGTCTGACCTTGTGCCACACAAGAGAATGTCCGTTTAGTCTTGTGTGTCACTAATCCAATATTCGTGGTACAGCGGTGCTCGTGCTCTACTTTTAGAGGGACATATCTGTGAAATGCAAGCCATTAATATGACAAGTGATGCTGCAAACTTTTGGAAATCTGCTTTTTGAATTGCACTCACCAGGCACAATATGCAAAGTTCAAGAACAAGGGACCAGTAGTGAAACTGGCTGAGCAGCTTACTTCGGTGCACACCAGTTTCTGAAAGGATCTTCTGTGTTCGCTTCTGTTTCTTTATAT